CAATAATAATACAAAGAAAAGTTTGCAGAGCCTTCATCTTTGAAGCGGTAAAAAAATAAAAAAGGGTCTATAATCGTCACTCAGATATGGACATGTTCTACGCTGATTATTAAATCAGTTCTGCAGGTAACAACAATTCAAACAATATCTAGCTTTTGGAAACATCAAGTCTTTAGGGTCCATTGTAAAACCAAGCAAATTACTCACACACACACTCTCACACACACACACACACACACACTTCCCGTCTTCCAGGTGAAAGGAGGCCCACATTGTTCGTGTCACTTCCAATCTCACGGCCGCCTCAATCTGCTCCGGGATCTGCCTCGTACGGTTGTCATAGCGACTCTCCAGGGATTATAACAAGGTATTATGGGATGTCTAGTGTCTGGAGCTGCCGGATCAGAACACGGTGTTAACACACGCTCAAACACACACACACACTCACACGCACACACACACACACACACACTCAAACGCATACACACGGAAGCCATGCTCAGCGCAGCGTGGTGTTAACACTCACACACTCACACTCACACACACACACACACACACACACACACACACACGATAACATGATGTGCAGCGCGGCAGAAGAGTTTCTCTGCAGGATTAAAGAGCGACGGATAAAGAACCAACGCACCTACAGGCACCTGTGATAGATGTGGCACTAATGCAACACATCCTCCTCATCTGGCACTTTTTCTGGTATTTCTTCGACTGATATTTAGCATTTTTTGGAACAGTGCCCTTGTTTACAAAAGAGCTAATTCATAGTTCCTCCTTGCTTCACATCACTGGTTTTGGTCGTCTGTAAGGATGCTTTGTGCAGATCTTTGCACTCCTAGACAATATGAGACACAACGTATATTGTGTTGTCCTGGACTTCGAGTCGTGGCTGAACCTGTCTCTGTGGTCCTGTCTGACTCTCATCATGCTGCTTCCCTGATGGCTCCCACAGGATTGTTGACATCCTCGTGGATTCATCTTCTTATTATAGAGACATGCATTTTCAGGTCTACCTATGCTTTAAAATGTATTATCTATTCGATTTACACACGGCATCTATTGCACGTCTGTTGCTCTCCCTGAGGTTTCTCCCAGGTTCCCCTTTAAACTGTGGGGTTTCTCTGGAAGTGTTTCCTTGTACGATGTGAGGGTCTAAGGACAGAGGGTCTAAGGACAGAGGGTCTAAGGACAGAGGGTCTAAGGACAGAGGGTCTGAGGACAGAGGGTCTAAGGACAGAGGGTGTCGTATTGTCATACTGATATTCTGAACAAACTGTGAAGTCCACTGAGACAAATGTAACATTTGTGATATTGGGCTATATAAATAAATATTGATTGATTGATTGATATTAAAAAACGGAATATCTGGAAAGTGAAGTCACTGCTTTCTGAGACTAAAAACCAGCAGTAAAGACTTGTTTTTGTTCTAAAAAAAAGTAGGGGTTGTGAAACATAAATGTGGAGTAACCTGGCTCGTGTGCTTTCCGAAACATTACTGACCTTTGGACACTGAGGCGCTTCTTCTACAATTAACAGCAGAAAAAGGTCATTGCGTAGTGGTACATACACTCTGCAACATTAAGGTGATGAACACATTAATGCATCACAAGTTCAAGTCCAAAAAAGCCACAGGTTTCCGAGTAAAAAACAACAGCCAGAAAGACGTGTCGCTGCTCGAAAGAGAAAGTTGAGTGGGTTAGAAATAAATGTGGACAAGTGGACTAAAGTGCGCTTTCTAAGACAACCGTGACCTTTGCACACTGCGGCAGGTGCAACATACATCACAACGTGAATCAGACAAGTACTTCTTCAACAATTAACAGCAGTTAAAGGTCATGGCCAAAGTCATTACCTGGTGGTATACACAAGCTGCAAAATTAAAGACATGAATACACCAACGCATCAAAAACACTTGTTTCTGTTCGATAGAGGAAGTTAAGATTGTGGGAAATAAAGCTGGAAATGCGGTAGGGCTGTGCGATTATGGCAAAAATCATAATCACTATCATTATTTTGGTCAATAATTGATATCACGATTATTAAATACGATTATTCATTGACTTTGAAAACATCAATTTATTGAACTTTTAAACAACTACAAATAATAATTTGAACAGTATCTTTTTAACTGTTGATTACCCTGAACGTATAATTCAACTGAAAAACCAATACAAAAATAAATTAAATAAATGATACATTTATATCTACATTTAAATAAATAATATCAAAAATAATAAATACCAATAAACAAGATTAACAAATATTTTGGAGCGCACTTCAACAAGCTACTAAACATATATAAATATGATAAATACAAATAAATGAGACCAAAATAAATTAGATCAAATATGTTGCAGTGCAGTCACAACCTAGCAAAGCAAAATAATCGTTTTTTTCGATTATGTTGTTTTCGTAATTGTGGCAGGCCAAAATCGTAATTGCGATTAAAATACGATTAATTGCACAGCCCTAGAATGCGGACTAAACTGTGCTTTTCAAAATAATTCTGAATATTGGACACTGTGGCATCATAACATGAATCAGACTTGACACTGAACAGCAGTAACAGGTCATTGCCCATCAGCATATATTACAATGTTCACAGTATATCATTATAATCCAATAATGTCATTTCTGCTGCTTCATCAACAAAGCTAGTATTTCTTACTTCCACGTGTGCGTACTGTAGGACTCTCCTCTGCACAACTGGCCACAAGAAACCAGGAGATAAATCAGTGTCACTGTTTGTAATGAATTCTTCATATCTCATAGGATATTTCCTGATGAATGAATATGATTATGGGATAATAAAAAAATAGCTACAAGAAGATTAGAAAAGTGTGGATTTTAACCCAGGAAACGTGCACTAGTGTCAACCAGATTATAACACTAATAATCAGGTGTGACTTCAACAGATACAGCCGACACGCACGCACGCACACACACGCACACGCACGCACACACACACACACACACATGCGCAAACACACAATAGCAGAAGCAGAAACACAAACACTTTACAATAATGGAAAAGCACAACACTATTGGAGGTTTACATGTACAGCATCATCTATAGAAAGGGTGGGCGCTTCCAATAGTGCATACTGTATCACACACACACACACACACACACACACACACACACACAAACACACACACACACACACACACACACACATACACACACACACACACACACACACACACACACACACACACACACAGATTACCAGCCTCTATCAGCTGTGGTATCGCGTCGGCTCGGTTGTGATGTTAAAAGCTCAGCCTTTGGGCTGTATGTTAAACAGATAAGGAGTGGAGCATGTTAGGGATTAAAACTACAAGACACACACACACACACTCTCACACACACACACACACACACACACAAACCCAAGGGAGCGAACAGCGATAACCCAGTCATTATCATACTTTCATAATTCCATTTAATAATTCAGTTTAGCCGCGGCAGCTGGATGTTGAGGAATAATTGAAGCTGGCTGTGGTGAAGAATCTGAGGGTGAGTTATGAAGGAATCACTGAGCTAATATCGTAAAGGTACATTATGAAGACTGATTGAGCTCCAGAAAAGCTCAAAGGCAAATCAGATGAAAAGATTCAGATATCATGGTGTAAAATCCACATTCTGATATGGACTGGATTTGAACTCTAATACTCTAGAGATTCAGAAATCAGGAATAACCGTGACCTTAGGAATGAAACTGTGAGGCTCATTAGACACTTCAAAACTGAAATGTTAGACGAAGAAAACATTAAAAGAAATATTTGATGTTGTGCACTGCAAAAATGTCAAATCTTGCCAAGTATAATTGTCTAATTTCTAGTCAAAACATGTCGTTACACTTGATATAAGACTTAATAACGTAAGTTTTGTTTTTAGACAAGGCATCTTAAGCATCTTTTTAAGTCAAAGTCTCTTAAGAACATCTTATTTTATAAGAACATCTCCACTAACTAACATCAGGAAACAGAAAGCGTCTGAGCATTTCTGGCTTTTTTTTGTTACAAATTCCCCAATTCTGGTCAAATATAGTTCAAAATAAGTTCTCCCAGCTAAATACAAGATCTCATTTATCTAATTATCCCATCTTTACTTCAAGAAATCTCACCAAGCCATTTTGTACTTGTTCTATTGGCAGATTTGTTCACTTATTAAAAGCGAAACCACCTTGTTTTTATTATATATTTACAGCATTTCTTTCCAGTGTGGCAGAGAAGAGGCTACTTTCATTAAAACATGTTATTGAACTCTACACGATGTATTGTACACACATAACTTCCATGTTAACGGTGAAGATGTTACCATGATTAGTGTTTACTGTGTTTTTCATACAGGGTCCTGAGACTGAAGCCAATCCTAAAATTACAGACCGACTTAATCCCAGGTCGAACGAGCATTAAAGAGTCCATTATATTGCCTTCAGCGATCAAAATGCTCTGTTAAAAGTCTGTTTGTGTGTTTCTTCTTCTATATTTGTGTGATATTATATTATATGTGAGCCCTAAAAAAAGAGACATTCAATTGAATTCCTTCTGCTTACAACCGAATGGCATCTCTCTGACACCCTTCTTTCTCTTGACCCTCTTAACATACCTCTAAGCACAGTTTGTGTTGAAGAGTATTGTCCAGTGTATGATGAGTATTGTGTGTTTGTATTGAGTATAGAGTGTATTTGTATGTATATATATATATGTACCCTAACCCTACATCACGCTGAGAGATGCAAACCACAATTCCACTCGAAACCATTTATCAAAACCAAAGGGCAAATCATTACTGAATAGATTACTGGTGTGTGTCCAGCATGACGTGCATGTTTCTGAGTTTATTCTCACAAAAAACAAACTGCAGTGTACCTGATAGTATAAGGTATACTGCAGTTTGTTTTTCATAAGGCTTATACTGTAGATACTCCAAGAAAATAACAGAAGACATGTAGATGAAGACACTCTTGAACAGTTCCTACCTGTAAAATGTGGCTGCCCAGGTGAGGTTCGAAGACATCTGAGGCGACGGCGGGGGGAATCCTCCTTCGCGGGTTACCTATAGCTAAACACACACACACACACACACACACACACACACACACACAACCACACACACAAACACGCATGCAAACACACACACACACACACAAGGAGAGAGAAAACACAAGACAGGACAGAAGAAGACCGGTGAGACTCAGACACATTGATACGAGCAAAGCTACACACACACACACACACACACACACACACACACACACACACACACACACACACATATATGCATTCACACACACACACACACACACACACACACACACACACACACACACACACACACACACACACACACACACACACACACACACACACACACACACACACACACACACACACACACACACACACTAACGTTTATACAGCCTAGCGTGACAAACACACATGGCACAGGACAAGAGGAACCAGTGAGTTCAGCTCGGCAAAACAAAACATTTTTGAACAGTTGATCAACAAGTTAGCATCGTTAGCCCTTCTCATTGATATCCAATGGAACCATTAGCTTCATGCTAATGAGATAGCAACCCAGCAAAACTTTGTTTCAAAATGAATTTATAGACTTTTAAATTATTTCCAAGATAAGAATATCATTTGTTGCAGCCTTAAAGATCTTATTGAATATATGTGTATATATAAATTAGCAGGTAACATGCTTGAATAGTTTAAAAGCTTGACCTGATGAATTCAGAAACAAAGTGTGAGGCGAGTCCGAAGGCAAGGATACAAAACAAATGTCTTATTTAGTGTCTCTTTCTTTATGCTCTTCTATCCATCACTGCCCATCTCCAGAGAGTGAGACAGAAAGAAAGTCATTTCAGCTTTCTAAAAATTCTTCCTGAGGGCAAAGCCCTGTCGAAAGAGAGAAACAGAAAGAGATCTGCCCTCAGGTTAAACTGTCTCTCTCTCACAAAAAAATACAAAACCAGAAAGTGTGATAGACATGTTCAGCAGTGAGACAGCTTCAGACAGTGAGACAGCTTCAGACAGTGATACAGCTTCAGACAGTGAGACAGCTTCGGAGAGTGAGACAGTTTCAGAGAGTGAGACATACAGTGAGACAGCTTCAGAGAGTGAGACAGCTTCAGACAGTGAGACAGCTTCAGACAGTGAGACAGACAGTGAGACAGCTTCAGAGAGTGAGACAGCTTCAGACAGTGAGACAGCTTCAGAGAGTGAGACAGCTTCAGACAGTGAGACAGCTTCAGACAGTGAGACAGACAGTGAGACAGCTTCAGAGAGTGAGACAGCTTCAGACAGTGAGACAGCTTCAGAGAGTGAGACAGCTTCAGACAGTGAGACAGCTTCAGACAGTGAGACAGCTTCAGACAGTGAGACAGCTTCAGACAGTGAGACAGACAGTGAGACAGCTTCAGAGAGTGAGACAGCTTCAGACAGTGAGACAGCTTCAGAGAGTGAGACAGCTTCAGACAGTGACACAGCTTCAGACAGTGAGACAGCTTCAGACAGTGAGACAGCTTCAGAGAGTGAGACAGCTTCAGACAGTGAGACAGCTTCAGAGAGTGAGACAGCTTCAGACAGTGAGACAGCTTCAGACAGTGAGACAGCTTCAGACAGTGAGACAGACAGTGAGACAGCTTCAGAGAGTGAGACAGACAGTGAGACAGACAGTGAGACAGCTTCAGAGAGTGAGACAGCTTCAGACAGTGAGACAGCTTCAGAGAGTGAGACAGCTTCAGACAGTGAGACAGCTTCAGAGAGTGAGACAGCTTCAGACAGTGAGACAGCTTCAGACAGTGAGACAGCTTCAGACAGTGAGACAGACAGTGAGACAGCTTCAGACAGTGAGACAGACAGTGAGACAGCTTCAGAGAGTGAGACAGCTTCAGACAGTGAGACAGCTTCAGACAGTGAGACAGCTTTGGAGAGTGAGACAGTTTCAGAGAGTGAGACAGACAGTGAGACAGCTTCAGACAGTGAGACAGCTTCGGAGAGTGAGACAGTTTCAGAGAGTGAGACAGGCAGTGAGACAGCTTCAGAGAGTGAGACAGCTTCAGAGAGTGAGACAGCTTCAGACAGTGAGACAGCTTCAGAGAGTGAGACAGTTTCAGAGAGTGAGACAGCTTCAGACAGTGAGACAGCTTCAGACAGTGAGACAGCTTCAGACAGTGAGACAGCTTTGGAGAGTGAGACAGTTTCAGAGAGTGAGACAGACAGTGAGACAGCTTCAGACAGTGAGACAGCTTCGGAGAGTGAGACAGTTTCAGAGAGTGAGACAGGCAGTGAGACAGCTTCAGAGAGTGAGACAGCTTCAGAGAGTGAGACAGCTTCAGACAGTGAGACAGCTTCAGAGAGTGAGACAGTTTCAGAGAGTGAGACAGTTTCAGAGAGTGGGACAGCTTCAGACAGTGAGACAGCTTCAGAGAGTGAGACAGCTTCAGACAGTGAGACAGCTTCGGAGAGTGAGACAGTTTCAGAGAGTGAGACAGACAGTGAGACAGCTTCAGAGAGTGAGAAAGCTTCAGAGAGTGTGACAGCGTCAGACAGTGAGACAGCTTCAGAGAGTGAGACAGCTACAGAGAGAGATGCTTCAGACAGTGAGACAGCTTCAGAGAGTGAGACAGTTTCAGAGAGTGAGACAGCTTCAAACAGTGAGACAGCTTCAAACAGTGAGGCAGCTACAGAGAGTGATGCTTCAGACAGTGAGACAGCTTCAGAGAGTGATGCTTCAGACAGTGAGACAGCTTCAGAGAGTGATGCTTCAGACAGTGAGACAGCTTCAGAGAGTGATGCTTCAGACAGTGAGACAGCTTCAGAGAGTGATGCTTCAGACAGTTAGACAGCTTCAGAGAGTGAGACAGTTTCAGAGAGTGAGACAGCTTCAGAGAGTGAGACAGCTTCAGACAGTGAGACAGCTACAGAGAGTGATGCTTCAGACAGTGAGACAGCTTCAGAGAGTGAGACAGTTTCAGAGAGTGAGACAGCTTCAGACAGTGAGACAGCTTCAGACAGTGAGACAGCTTCAGACAGTGAGACAGCTTCAGGACAGCTTCAGAGAGTGAGACAGCTTCAGACAGTGAGACAGCTTCAGAGAGTGATGCTTCAGACAGTGAGACAGCTTCAGACAGTGAGACAGCTTCAGAGAGTGAGACAGCTTCAGACAGTGAGACAGCTTCAGAGAGTGATGCTTCAGACAGTGAGACAGCTTCAGACAGTGAGACAGCTTCAGAGAGTGAGACAGCTTCAGACAGTGAGACAGCTTCAGAGAGTGATGCTTCAGACAGTGAGACAGCTTCAGACAGTGAGACAGCTTCAGACAGTGAGACAGCTTCAGACAGTGAGACAGCTTCAGACAGTGAGACAGCTTCAGACAGTGAGACAGCTTCAGAGAGTGAGATAGCTTCAGACAGTGAGACAGACAGTGAGACAGCTTCAGAGAGTGATGCTTCAGACAGTGAGACAGCTTCAGACAGTGAGACAGCTTCAGACAGTGAGACAGCTTCAGACAGTGAGACAGCTTCAGAGAGTGAGATAGCTTCAGACAGTGAGACAGCTTCAGAGAGTGAGACAGCTTCAGAGAGTGAGACAGGCAGACGAAGGGGCATTAAACCCTCAGTAAAAGAGAGATTTTTCTGCCCTGAGGTAATTTTCTCCTCTCCACACAACCTCCGTCCTCGTCTCCCTGCAGACCTCATTACACTGAATTTAAACACACACACACACACACACACACACACACACACACACACACACACACACACACACACACACACACACACACACACACACACACACACACACACACACACACACAGTCCTCTTTTGGGGGGGTAATGTAGCTGAATTAGGCTCAATTAATGATGTAATGAAATGCTCTTGTGAACGAGAGCCTTTTAAAGAGAAAGGGGTGAGGAGAGGGGGAGACAGGGGGGGGGTGATGGAGCTCAGGGAGGAAGGATTGAGAAGCAGGATCTCATGGGGACTTAATTGTAGAAAAATAACTGTTTTAAATCTGATAATCTAGTGTGAATCATGCCGGCTCAAACACTTTGTTTTTTAAGTTAAAGGAAAGAAAAACAGGATCAAAAACGTAATCCGATCACATTGATTTGGGCTAAAGTTAATCAATCAAAATAACACTGGGGGCCTTTTGTTGTTAAGAGTTAAAGGGGCCCTATTCAACTGATGCTCAGGTGTTTATCAGTATGTAGTGTCTCTACTTTAAAGAGTCCTCTCCTGCTGATGTTCAGGTGTATATCAGTATGTAGTGTCTCTACTTTAAAGAGTCCTCTCCTGCTGATGTTCAGGTGTATATCAGTATGTAGTGTCTCTACTTTAAAGAGTTCTCTCCTGCTGATGTTCAGGTGTATATCAGTATGTAGTGTCTCTACTTTAAAGAGTCCTCTCCTGCTGATGTTCAGGTGTATATCAGTATGTAGAGTCTCTACTTTAAAGAGTCCTCTCCTGCTGATGTTCAGGTGTATATCAGTATGTAGTGTCTCTACTTTAAAGAGTCCTCTCCTGCTGATGTTCAGGTGTATATCAGTATGTAGTGTCTCTACTTTAAAGAGTCCTCTCCTGCTGATGTTCAGGTGTATATCAGTATGTAGTGTCTCTACTTTAAAGAGTCCTCTCCCGCTGATGTTCAGGTGTATATCAGTATGTAGTGTCTCTACTTTAAAGAGTCCTCTCCTGCTGATGTTCAGGTGTATATCAGTATGTAGTGTCTCTACTTTAAAGAGTCCTCTCCTGCTGATGTTCAGGTGTATATCAGTATGTAGTGTCTCTACTTTAAAGAGTCCTCTCCTGCTGATGTTCAGGTGTATATCAGTATGTAGTGTCTCTACTTTAAAGAGCATCTTTTTTCACCCTCTGTCTGAAACCAGAGCCCAGTCTGCTCTGATTGGTTAGCTGGCCGGCTCTGTTGTGATTGGTCAACCACTTAGAGATGTCCCGCCCCTTAGCCCCTTATCACGTACAATGTGTTGGAGCGCGAGTAGTGATGTCATCATGTTCCTGAACTTTGGGATTTTAGTCATTGCACTAAAA